CTGCCCCGCCCTCCCCCCCACACACACCTGGGAAGGTTTCGGAGGAGCAGCTGGTCTCTTTGGAAGCTTCTCAGGCCTCCGGGGCTACCTGTCCGGCCACGCCTAGACGTCCGCCCAGAGAAGGGCCCTGCAGCTGGACCGGCCCTGTCCCTTCGCCAACCCAAAACCTTTTCCAAGACGTTTGGGGTCAGGCCACGAGGTGGGCAAGAGCCTTCTCCTGCCCATGACTTCTGCCAGCTGGCTGGGGGGGGGCACTCAGGAAATCCCGGAGGCGACGCAGGCACCACTCTTAGGTGCGTGGGTGGTTCTTCGTTTTGGCCAGCCTCCTTTTATGGGCAGCAGCTGATGCTTTGCTGTCAGCCCCAGGAGGGGACACGATCCCCGGGGTCTCTGAGTGCCCAGCGTGAAGCCTCTTTCCCTTACACTAAGCGAAGACACAACACACCCGCCCCCAAAAGTTGGTCACATTTCCTCACTTAGTAGCCTCGTCACTAGAGATGTGATTCTTCCAACGGCTCTGCAGATCGTGAGCCACTCGCCACTCTTCAACCTTGCAGCAAGGCCTGTCCTCCTGTCAGAAGCGGCTCGCTGATCGCGATCTGCAAAGCCGTTGGAAGACTCACGGCATCCACAGCAACGGTGGATCAGTGAGTGGACCGTCTGACCCCATTAATTATTTATGGTGGCGCTGCGGGCTAAACCGCAGAAGCCTGTGCTGCAGGGTCAGAAGACCAGCAGTCGTAAGATCGAATCCACGCGATGGAGTCCTAGCTCCCGCCAACCTAGCGGTTCGAAAGCATGCAAATGCAAGTAGATAAATAGGGACCACTTCGGTGGGAAGGTAACAGCGTTCCGTGTCTAAGTTGCACTGGCCATGTGACCACGGGAGATGGTCTTCGGACAAACGCTGGCTCTATGGCTTGGAAACAGGGATGAGCACCGCCCCCTAGAGTCGAACACGACTGGACAAAAATTGTCAAGGGGAACCTTTACCTCTATTTATTTATTAGATTTCTATCCCACCCATCTAGACCAAAGGTCTACTCTGGGTGGTTGGATCCTCGTTATCACCACCTGTGCGGGGATATTCATATACGAATACCCCCATCTCTGCTTGTTGATGTCTACGTTGGCTCGGGCATGTCGTGAGAATGGCTGACGGTCAGATTCCAAAACATCTCCTGGATGGAGAATGAGTGCAGGGAAATCGCTCCAGAGGGAGACCACAGCTGCGATACAAGGAGATCTGCAAGCGGGATCTGAAGGCCTTAGGAATGGACCTCCACAGATGGGAAACCCTGACATCTGAGCGTTCAGCCTGGAGGCAGGCTTTGCATCACAGCCTCTCCCAATTCAAAGAGACCCTTGTCCAGCAGGCCGAGGCAAAGAGGCAGTCCCGAAAGCAGCAAAACCAGGGAGCTGGACAGGGGACAGGCTGTATTTGTCTTCAGTGTGGAAGGGATGGTCCCTTTTCAGCCACACTAGACGCTGTTCCAAGTCCTCCATGCAGAGCCCGTTACCATCGCCTCTCGAGACTGAAGGAGGCGTAATACATGCTCGTCACCCATCAATCACCTGCTCCTTCTGGCTGCCCTTTGCTGAACTCTCCCGGCCCGTGACCCTCTTATTTTGAGATGGGCGCGGGGGGGGGTGTCAGAGCTGCTGCACCCACCCTTTGGCACGAAGAAGAAGGGCTGGCCAGCTTTGCTGTGGCCTCCTTTGCTGAGGTTTCCTGCTGTGGGGCCGGCCTTCCCACGTTCCTTGCCTCCAGCGGCCTCTTTCCTGACTACTCACTGCCAGCCAAGTATTTCTCAGTGCCTGCCTCCGGGTATGCCTGTGTGCGCATGTGCGCTCGTTTGCTCTCAGCTGCCCCTTGTCCAGGGCAGGTAGGAACATCCCAGCTCCAGAATGGAGAGGCAAGACATGAGAGTGGAACGGATCTCTCTTGCTCGCTCGCGTTCCTATTCTTGCCCCTGAGAAGGAGCTTTCTGCAGGAGGGTCCCACCTCCTCAGGGCAGCATCCGGGCCACCCCTGAGGCCAGCGAGCCTGGCCCTGCCCGGCATTGGGTTGGTGCCTCCTTTGGTGGCACAAGAGGGCGCATTGGTGAAGAGCTGGCAGGTGGGGGGGGAGAGAATGGACCTTTGGGGGCCAGACCGAAGCAGCAGAGCCCCTCCCCACGACTTTTCCTTCGTTCCGCTCTTCTTTCTTGAGGAAGCCACCCGGGTACCCTTGCTGCTCTTCTCGATCCCTCTTCTCTGCCCTCACACCCCCCTTGAGTTCCTCGTGGCTTCTTCCCACCCCCACCCCACGAAAGTGTGAAGCTGTGCTGGGTGACCGTGAGAGGTGGCGCTCTGTGGCAGCCGAAGGGGGTGGGTGGGGAGAGGGAGGGCCCAGGGACCGCAAGGGACTCATCCGGCCTCCCTGCCTGCCCCCCCCTTCGCTCTTCCAGACTCCTGATGGTGGCGGCAGTCGAGGCAGACTCCCCAGTGATGCCTGCGGTGGCGGCTCAGGTGAGCAGGGGTGCCGGGGTCACCTGCGTGCGCTCTTCCCTCCTGGAACAAGTCTTTTTTGGGCCATGAAGGAGGAGGGAAGCCTGGCTGAGTGGCGAGTGTTGTCACCGGCAGCCGGCTCTCTTGCAAAGAGCCTCGTCTCTGCAGCTCCCCGAGAGAGCAAGCATCCCTTCGTGTGACACGGAGGCTCTTCTCCTCCACTGTGGCCGTGGCCGTGGGCGGGGGGGCAGGATGGGTGCCGACGATTGCAGGAGAGGGAGCTTGCCGCACTTGGCCGGGAAGCTGCTCAGCCGTGGGAGAAGGCGCTCCCCTTTCTGGGGTTGGCACAGCAGTGGCCTGGTAGCTTTGCCCAGGTTGGCACCTCAAGCCGCAGGGCTCAGGGGTGGCTTCAGGTTGGCCACTAGCGCAGTACAGAAAAGAGCCCCTAAGACCCATAAAGTTGTCCATTTGTGCCTGGCCTAAAGGATCTGGTTTGTGGGGGTGGGGTGGGGAGGGTGCCTCCTGCCGGTGCTTGGCGGCCAGCTCTCTTCCCTCGGGGGGGGGCTTATTATGTCTTCAAGGCAGGGCCCTCTGATGGCTCAGGAGCCCAGCTGTACACTCCCCATGTCCAGAGTCTGACAGCTAGACCCAAAAGCCCACCCCCACCCATCCCCGTGCCATTCTGTGGGCTGGCTCCCCACCCCACCTCACGCCCCACGTGTGCCAGGGCTCCAGGGGAGAAGCTGGGCCAGGCCTCCCTCCTTCGGCTCCTGCCTCAGAAGCGTGCCAAAGGAGCTGATGGGGAGAGCGGGAGAGAGGCCTGCCGTCCTCTGCTAGGAGGTGGGGGTGGGGGGGCGCTTTTTCTCTCTGACCCCCGTTTTCTCCACCACCAGCAGTGGCGGCCGGGAGCCAGAAGCAAGAGACCCCCGGAGAAGGGCAGGAGGGGTCTCCACTGGCCCTTGGCCCCCCCACCCCCACGGCGTCCCCCCAGGATGAAATGGGGCTCTTTGGCAGCCAGCGCAAGCTCCGGCACGCACAGCACGGCTTGGAAACGGCGGTGCCCACATAACGATGAACCGGTCCCGGAGGGCTGCTGAGAACAGCGCGGAGGCTCGGGGGTGGGCAGCAAGCAGCTCTTGCAGGCAGCGCGCCAAGGCGTAGCCCGTTTGGCCCCGGCAGGCACGCTGGACAGAAAAGGCTCCCGGGGGGGGCGCGAGAGGCCAAGGCCACGGATCTTCTCTTCTCCTCATGGCACCAGGGGTGTGTGCGTGCGTGTGTCAGGTTCTGAGCAGAGTGGGGCAGGCAGGAGCAGCCGGCGGCCGAGTGCTGTGTAGGGGTGCACCTGCGTGTGCGTGTGTAAATACTGTATGGGAGTGTGAAGGAGTGAGTTGTCCAGCTGTTTTAGGTTGACCGTTGCTTGTGGACGTTTGGGGGAGTGGAAATGGGTCCTCGGCCCCAACTGAGATTTGCCAAGTGGTAGGCCAGCAGGCGGCCCAACCCCCTGCCGCCCCACCCCACCCCCCGGTGTCCCACTGCTGTTCTTTCTCTCCCTTTCACCACTTCAGGGCATGGCGGGGGCGGAGGGGCATGCCCTTGCTGTGCCTGAGGCGGCGTGGCCCGCCTCCCTGGTGCGCGGCCGGCGTGTTCACAGGTGCCGTGGCCTGGCAGAGGCTGACATATCGCTTGATGGACTAGAAAGAGCAGCGTTCAACAAGGGGGTGTGCCGGAGATGCCCGGGGGGGGGAGCGAAGCAGGGGGGCACAAGAAGCACAGAGCGGGACAGAGAGTAGGGGCAGATTAGCTGTATTAGGATGGGGTGAGGTCGGTAGAAGATACAGTACAGTCAAAATGGGGAATAGGGGGTTGGGGTGGAGGGAGAAGGGCAAGAGGAGGGGTGCTGGGGCACACGGTGAGGGCACAAGGCCTGGGAGACAGGAGGGGGGGCCATCACGTGCCCACAAGGGGTGCGGCCGAGGCTCGGTGCCAGCAGACTTTCTTCCAGGTTGGCTATTCCCTTCCGGAAGGACGCAGGGCCCAGAACTGCGACCTGTTTCCTCCTCGGCCAGCTCTGAGCGGTGTGCGTGTGTGCGTGTGCGTGTGTGGTGGGGAGAGCCATGTGTTCACACCAGATCTACCATTCAAGGGTCGTTTTAACAGGACTGGAAGGCTTGGTTTTTAGTGAAGAGGGACGGGCCCCAACTGCCTTTTAGTCGAGCTGCACAGAGCTGCTGCTACATCAACTCTTAGAGCTTTTTTGATTCTAACCTAATTTTAGCATTTTTTTTTAAATGAGCAATTTGGGGAGGGATCAGGCAGGGTTTCAGCAACTGACTTAGGACTTCTCTTAGGTGCTGGGCTGGGGTGTGTCTGTCCTTCCTGAAGAAACTCCAAGGGAGAGGAAGACTTTAACTAGCAACCTTCGTACAACCAAAGAGATCTATTTTCTGGTTCCAGGACAATAAAGTTTACTTTTACCTTTTAGAGCCCCTGCGTCTTCCCTTCTCCAGCAGAGTCTGTGGCCCCTTCCCAGGACACTGGAGACTCGTGATATGGTGGTGGGTGGGAAATATATTCCTGCCTGTTTGTCAAGAGGGAGAGACGCCGATCGAATCTCATCCAAGCCTGAGAGCATGGGCGAGCGAGCTACAGAAGGTGCACAGAAGAGGGGCTCAAAAGTGGTGCCTTTCCTGGGGAGAAATTTATTTTCTTCTGTAGTCAAGGCTGCCGTCTTCCTTGCTTACGGGTGCCAAAGGAACTCAACGCCCCTTGGGCTGTGCGTGCTCAGTGCTGAACTTTCACGGGGCCAAGGGGAGCCTCCGGGGGAACTGATCACCTCGAAAGCGTCGCCTTCTGCCAAACACCAAAAAAAGCTGAGTGAGACCTCCTTGTGCCGGGGTGGGGGTGGTGGAGAGAGAGAGAGAGAGAGACGACTTCTTGGGCCTGCCTCCCAAGGCCACGCAGTCTCCATTCAGGCCCTGGGAACATACGTACGAGCCGGGACAGGAGACCAAGCCCAAAGCCCAGGGTTTCACGTGTAACGTACACCTCCAGCTCAGGCAGCCTCCCAGGTGGCGCCTACCGACTGCTCTTGGTCAGGACGACTTGGACTGGGAGGAGGCGCTGCAGAAGCTCCTCTGGTGGATGCGCACACTTGGTGACCACAAAAAGTTTGAATTTTTCTGTGCGAGCTGCTTGAAATTCAGTCTCTGCATATTCAGGTCCGTCTGTCGGCCTCACGAGGGAGAGATACCTGTGAAGGAAGGCAGCAGTGCTCAGTGGGCGCACTGCAGCGCCCTGTGCTGGTGGACAGCGCCATCCAAACTTACCAGGCAGAGCCAGGGGTTTCCAAGCAACTCCCCCCCCTCATCTGTGGGGGTATCTTGGCTCTGGAGGCCTTTTTGGCCATTCCATACCCCTCCAATGCTGTGTGCCCCCCCCAGGGTTGGATGCTTGCACCATCCCTGTCCTTGTTGCAGGGCCCCTGGCTGCCCCACAAGGAATTGGTGAAGGCAAGGGTATCTGTGTGGTCCTGAGACGCCAGGGATGGGGGAAGAGCCTGGCCAAGCAAGGGCAGAACACCATCTCTGTAGCCAAGCGGGATGAAGGCACAGCCCCCCCCCACACACACACACAGAGAGAAGAAAGCCTTGTAGTTAGCAGACTCATTTCCCATCTGTGCCACCACCTTCACCCTTGGAACTAGATGACTAATAATGTCAAATTATATCCCTTTTCACACCATACCTCTCCAAAAAATACATGGATTCTTCTGCTGGCATATAGCCTTTCCCCTCAAAAAGACATACTCCCAAGTATAAATTCCATACATCTTTTAAATTATTAGATTTTATCATTCCTCTTCTTGTTTTCATTTATGCTATCATTAATTGCCAAGTTCCACATTTCTTTATACCAGTCTTGAAATTTGTTGCTTTTCCAATTTTTTGCAAACATTAGTCTTGCTATTGTAACCATTATAACTACTAATTACTTCTGATCTTTTTCAACTGGTTATTCTTAATTATGTTCATAAGGGCAATAATTGGTGATATCTGAATATCATATTCAATAATTTTGCTAATTTCATTAAGACCAGTGCCCATTCTTTCTTATTTCACACATCCACCACATATGCATATAGGTCCCTTTTTCCCTGAGATGGCATGTTATTTATTATATTCCTTCTTACTGGAGTTAAACGCCATCTAGAATCTCTACATTGCAACGGGAAGGCTGAGCTCTTTCCCTCCCTCTGCCCCACCCACCCCACTCCACTCCTCACTCTGTTTCCTCTCTAGCCAAACACACCCATGTCATGCCCTTGCAACCCAAGACTTTTAGGATATTGGGAAATGTAGGGAATAATTAATAATTCCCAGGGAACCATTAACTAAGGACCAGCCTTAGCCAACAGTTGAATTAAATACCAGGGAGAGATCTCTGATAGAATACAACAGGCAGTCTTTAGTTACGAAGCATATCACCGGTGAGGAGGATGTCTGCCTGTTAACAACGAATCCTGTTAACCATGTGTTCCTCCTCCTCCCCAGAGGCATGTCCTTTTATTAAGAATCATCATTTACATAAAAGATAAGAGATAGCCAATGAAACGTCGTATTCTACACATTCCAGAAATTCCACACATGCGCAGAGAGAGAATCACAGAACAATGTTTGGTTAGGCTAAGCACCACTGTTGTACCCCTTAATAGCCATAAGATGGAGCTCTAAGATCCTTGTCACTACAGGGAAAGCCAATTTTACTGAACTCAGAACAATTATAGGGAAGGTTATATGGAAATCCTCACAGGAAAAGGAGTCCAACATGAAAGTGATAACAGGTTACATAGAAAAGGCGTAAGTGCTCTGTTCCTACTTCAGCTCTGCCTTCTCCCAAAAGACAAAGAAAACACCGTCAGGGGATAAGTAGGCAGGTCCTCTTATGGACTGAGAATTGGCGGAGAACCAGGAAACAGAGAGTAGGTGTCAATGGGCAATTTTCACAATTCGTTTAGTTGTGTCCGACTCTTCGTGACCCCATGGACCAGAGCACGCCAGGCCCTCCTATCTTCCACTGCCTCCCGGAGTTGTGTCAAATTCATGGAGCCCAAGAAAGTAAAATCTGTCACTGCCTCCATATCTTCCCCTTCTATTTCCCAGGAGGTGATGGGACCAGATCCTGAAGCTGAGGCTCCAGTACTTTGGTCATCTCATGAGAAGAGAAGACTCCCTGGAAAAGACCTTGATGCTAGGAAAGTGTGAAGGCAAGAGGAGAAGGGGACGAC